CAAAAGCTTAATACAGAAAGTAAGATCACACAGGTTTAGGGGTAATACATTGATTTGGAATGGAGTATTGGATAGAGTCAGAAAAAATGTGTATTTTCTGGTTGGCAAACTGTGGGGTAACACAGGATTTTGTCATCGGATACCAACTATTTATGATCTTACTAATGACTTGGATGCAGGGATAGAATGTGCCTCATCTGAAATACATGAGAAAGTAAGTTGCAAAGAAGAAATAAGAAACTTATAAATGGATAGGGATAGGATAGCTGAATGGGCCAAAATTTGGTAGATGCAGTTCAATGTTAAGGGTGAGGTTATCATTTTGATCGGATGATTAATAGGCTATATATTATCTAAATGGAGAGAAACTTCAAAATGCTTTGAAGCCTTCTTTATCACCTTACCCACTTGTGCTGCCACTTGTAGGGAGCTGTGGACTTGCACCCCAAGATCCCTCTGTCTATCAGTGCTCCGAAGGATCCTGCCATTGACTGTATACTTTGATCTTGTGTTTGACCACCTGAAATGCATCACCTTACACTTATCTGGATAAGAGTCCATCTGTCATTTCTCCTCTCAACTTCCCAACTATATTCTGCTGTATGCTTTGACAACCTTCCTCACCATCCACAACTGCACCAATTTTCATGTCATCTGCAAACTTACTAATCAGATCACCTATATTTTCAAGCAAATTATTTATATTTACTACAAACAACCTTGCGGAACAGTACTGGTCACAGACCTCCAGTCAGAAAATACCCCTCCACACCTACCCTCTATCTTCTGTAACTAAACTAGTTTTGTATCCAGTCTACCAGTTCACCATCTTCTGAACCAATCTATCATGAGGTACTTTGTCAAATGCTTCAGTAAAGTCCATGTAGACAGCATCCACTGCCCTATCCTCAACACTCATCTTCGTCATTTCCTCAAAAAACTCACTCTAGTTTATGAGACAAGACTTTGCCCGCACAAAGCCATGCTGACCAGCCTTAATAAGTCAATTTTTCTCCAAATGCAAGTAAATCCTGTCCCTCAGAATCTTCTCCAATAATTTCTCTACCGCTGATGTAAGACTCACTAACCTACAATTTCCTGAATTATCCTTGTTGCCTTCTCAGTTGTCTCCAGTCTCCTGTGACCTTAACTGTGGCTGAAGAGATTACAAAGGTTTCTGTCAAAACCAAGCCATCTCCTTCCTTGCTTCTCTCGGCATCCTGAATAGATCCCATCAGGCCCTGGAGACTTATTGAATGTAATGTTTTTCAAGTCATCCAACAACTCCACCACATTAATATTAACATGCTCTGGAATATCAACATAACTCTCCCTAATCTTACCAACATCCATGCCCTTCTCTTTGGTGAATAATGATAAGAGGTACTCATTAAGGGCCTCACACACTTCCTCTGGCCCCATGAATAAATTCCCTTCTTTGTCCTTGAATGGACCTGCCCTTGCCCTAGCTGCACTCTTGCTCATTTATATGTGTAAAATGGCTTGGGATTCTCCTTAATCCTGTTTACCAAGGACATATCTTGGCCTCTTTTCGCCCTCCTTATTCCTTGTTCAATTTCTTTCCTTCTTCCTTTATATTCCTCAAGGGCCTTGTCTGATTTAAGTTTCCTAACCCTTACATATGCTTTCTTTTTCTTCTTGACTAAACTTTCAATGTCTCTTGTATTCCAGGGCATCCTAAATGTTGCCATCCGTATCTTTCATCCTCACTGAAAACATGCTGGCCCCGAGCTCTGATCAACTGGCCTTTAAAAGACACCCCATGTCAGATGTGGATTTACCCTCAAACAGCCGCCACCAATCTAATTTCTCCAGTTCCTGCCTAATGCTATTGTAACTTGCCTTCCCTCAATTTAGCATGTTCACCTGAGGACCAGTCTCATCCTTTTCCAAGACAATCTAAAACTTATGGAATTATGATCACTGTTCCCAAAATGATCCCCCACTGAAACTTTGATCACTTGGCCAGGTTCATTTCCCAGCACATGGTCTAGTATGGCTCCTTCCCTTTTTGGACAATCTCCATGTTGTTTCAAGAAGCCATCCTGGAAGCACCTAACAAATCCTGCCCCATCTAAGCCTCTGGCACTAAGGGAATCCAATCAATATTAGGGACATTAAAATCACCCACTACAACAACACTGTGGTTTTACCTCTTTCCGTGATTTATTTACATATCTGTTCCTCTCTCTCCCACTCACTCTTGGGAGGCCTATGTTATAACCCCATCATAGTGACTGCACCTGTCTTATTTCTAAGTTGTACCCATATGGCGTCACTGGATGAGCCCTTTGTGATGTCCTTTCATAGAGCAGCTGTGTTATAAGGAGAGATTGAGCTTACTTTTAGCCTATTTTGGTTTGAGTTTAGAAGAATGAGAGGAGATCTAATTGATCTATATAAGATGCTAAAGAAGATTGACATTACAGACATAGGGCAGATGTTTCCCTTGTGGGGCAATCTAAAACAAGAGTTCATAGTTTTAACCTAAAGGGTGGCAGACTTAAAGTAGAGATGAGGAAGAATTACTTCTGTCAAAGGGTCATGAATCTATGGAATTCACTACCCTAGAGTGCGGTGGACGACATGACACTAAATAAATTTATGGAGAAGATAGATTTTTAATTGCTAATGTGTTGAACCGTTATGGGGACCAAGCAGTGGAGTTGAGCAGGATGAGATCAGCCATAACTGTATCAAATAGTGGAGCGGGCTCAAGGAGCTGAATTGCCTGCTCCTGCTCCTAGTTCTTTATGTTCAAAATTGTTGGGACATTTACATACTAAATCAGTTTTTTTTAGTCTAATTTGAAAGTACATGCGTACATTCTTCCTTATATTAAACATTGTATTTGAAATAATTGTGGAAAATTAATATATTTTGTAATGGTTATATGCTCAGAGAAATGTTTAATACATGCTCTTAATGACATATAATCTGTGTAGTTTAGTTTGTTGTGGGAGAAGTCGAAAGTAAATGCAGTCTAGGTTAGGATAATTTGGACATATGGTCAAATTTTCAAACAGCAATACACAGTTTTCCACTATTGATGGGTGTACCATTTTCTGGGCATGTTCCTACGTCCGAGCAATTTGCAGCAGTCTATTTCACCTTTCAAGTTCTCTCCACCCTTCTGTGGCTGTGACTGAAATTTGGCCATGCAGATAGTCCAAGACAACCTTGTGAAGGGGTTCCCACTCCACAGTGCAAATCTGCCCCTTATCTTTGTAAATAGTTTTGTTTAATATCAGCAACTATTCAGTCAGGCATGTTGTTGAACAAGTTGATTATTAATGTAACAAAAATAAATTGTACGTAATAATTGAATCAGAGATATGTAATAATATGTTTGTCTTCAAATGTGCAATTAATTTTTCAGTGGTTCCTGGCAAACTTTTCCTATCAGGAGGCGCTTTCGGATACTCAGGTTGCTATTGTTAACATATTGTCCTCAACTTCGGGTAAGTTACGTGTAAAATGTATTTTTCTTGTCCATTCTATTGTACAGAATAAGAAATGTATTTACTTGTATCAGCTCATACAAGGGAAGTAAGTTTTACAGAATACTTTTTGCCTGGCAGAGCTTAATGCATCAGAAAAATTATGTTGCCGTGTAATGAGAACACAATTTTAAATCCTATCTCACCATAAACCAAATCATCACAACTCTCAAGCCTGTTTCACCATTCAGTTTATGGCTGACCTATGCCTCAACTCAATTTACTTATGCTGGCTCAACATTCCTTGATGTCCATGTCTCTCAAAAATCCATTGGTCTCTGTCTTGGAAATTTTCAATTGACCTAGCATGCATAACCTTTTACAAGAAAGAGTTCATAATTTACCATAGTGTGTATAACCAAATGTATTCTGATTTCCATCCCTTAAATTATCTGGTTCTAATTTTAACATTACATGTTGTAGATTCTCCTGCCAGAGGACTTAATATCTGTGTGATGTATTGAGTCCATTTTATCATTTTAATTACATTGATTAGATGACCTCTCAACCTTCCAAGCTCATGGGAATCCAAAGGATATTTATGAAAACTGTCTTCATAATTTTAGCTTTTCAGCACTAATATCATTCTGGCGAATCTGTACTATATGCCCTTCAGGAATAATATAAATTAAGATTTGTTGCCCAAAGTGGAATGCATTACTCTACCTGTGGTCTTACTAAAATTGTAAATCTGAAGCATCACCTTCCTCACTTTTGAATTCTAACTCCTTGAGTAAATACTAATACTCTGTTCACACTTTTCATTACTTTTTGTACATCTGTGCAGTGTTATTTAAAGGAAAATCAGAAGATGGTGGAAATATTAGGAGTTCTGGCAGTATCTGAAGCGGGAGGAACAGAGTTAGTGAGGAGAATTTTCTCAAGCAATTGGAAATGTTGTGGGAGTAGGGCAAGAAAATCGCACAAAAAAAGTGTTGGCAAATCAGCCCTAGTTCGACTCCATTCTCTCTTGGTCCAGGCACTCCCCACCTACATTCGGGACACAAACCATGCCCTCCACCTTTTTGGAAACTTCCAGTTCCCTGGCCCCCAGCACTTCATCTTTACTACGGATGTGCAATCCCTGTACACGTCCATACCCCACAAGGATGGCCTGCAGGCCTTCAGTTGTTTCCACTCCAAAAGACCTATCCAGTCTCCACCCCCTGCCCCACCACCACCAATACCCTCCTCTGCCTCGCACAGTTAGCCCTCTCCTTTCCGTTTCCAGTGACAGTTTACGGACTAACATTTACTATAAACCCACAGACTCCCAGAGCTACCTGGATGACACCTCCCACCCTGTATCCTGCAAAAACTCCAACCTGTTTTCCTAATTTCTCTGTCTCCATTGCATCTGCTCTGATGAGGAGACATTCCACTCCCAAGCATCCCAGATGCCCTCCTATTTCAAACAACATTCTTTCTCCCCCAGCTGTCATCGAGACAACCCTCCACCGCACGTCCTCCGTTCCCTGCTCCACAGCTCTAAACCACACCCCCCCAAACATGATGAAGATAGGGTCCCCCTTGTCCCCACTTTCCATTCTACTTCCACCAACTCCAATTAAATCCCACCACCCAGAACATCTTCCACTCCCCACCCCCGTCTGCCTTCTGCAAGGACCGTTCCCTTCGCCACTCCTTAGTTTGCGCCACACTCCCCACCAACCATTCCAAATCTCCCTCACCTCCATTCAGGGCCCTAAACAGTCCATTCAGTTGAGACAGAGTTTCACTTGCATCTCCCCAAACTTAATCTACTGCGTTTGGTACTCCCGATGTAGTCTTCTGTATGTCGGTGAGACCAAATGTAGACTAGGTAACTGTTTCGCTGAGCATCTTCGCCTGGCCCACGGTGGCCAGCCTAATGTCCCAATCACCGCCCATTTCATCTACCCCACCCCCCCCCCGAGCCCCCCCCCCCCCCCCCCAACCCCACTCCTCCTCTGACATGTCCATTCTCAGCCTCCTCCAGTGTCACAGTGAATCAGATCGTAAATTTGAGGAACAATGCCTTATCTTCCACCTGGGCACCCTATAGCCCGGAGGACTTAACATTGAGTTCTCTAATTTCAAATAACCTTCCCATGCAATCACCAGTTCCCTTTCCAGCCCCGCCTTCTCCCTTCCATTCCATCTACCGATTCTCCTTTCCAGCTACCAACCATTCATCCGCCCCATCGACCAACCATGTCATACCTACTACCGGTGTCTGCCTATCACCACCATTCCGCTACGCACCCCCTCCTCCCCCTACCTCTCTTTATCTGCAGCCACCCTACCCCCACATCCAGCCCTGAAAAAGGGTAATGCCCGAAACGTTGACTTCTCCTTTCCTCCAGATGCTGCCTGGCTTGCTGTGTTCTTCCAGCCTCCTGTTTGTCTACCTTACATGTTCCTGCCTCTGGTTATTTTTCCCAGGGACAGTTTTCCAGAATAGTCAGGAACCCCCATTGAGAAGATGTGAGACAATTGAAACAATTAGAGAAATTTTTCTCATGAGTTCTTCCTTCCCAACATGGGAGCAGTTTCACACTGAATCTCCAACAGCATGCAGAAGATAAGAGCATGACATGCAGTGAAGCTGAGTAGTTGTGAATGTTTTGACCAGTTATACTAAAGAGCTGCAGATGCATCCAGGCTGAGCAGCTTCTATGCAAAGCACCTCTATCACAGTGTGCTGTTACTCCTTGTTTTTTGAGTACCAATTCCCTGCAAGACACTTTTCCTGACCAGCACTTCATCTATCCTCAGCTGCACTTCCCGATTCCAGTTTTTGGAGCAATGCTATTCCGTCTGCTAAGGGTCTACAGCCTTTTACAACACGCTACAGCAGGAGTAACATCATAAACACCACGAGGTGCCTCCTCTGCAGACACAAGTCCCTCCAAAGGAAGATGAGATAACAAGGTGTAGAGCTGGATGAACACAGCAGGCCAAGCAGCATCAGAGGAGCAGGAAAGCTGACATTTCGGG